TATTATGTACAACGGAGTCCTTACATTTCTTTTTTTTTTTCAAACATTATATTTCTATGCAAAGAAAGCAAATGACCAGACGAATGTCAGAAAACTCTACGGGGACTCCTGCCCAGACCAAGACAAGATAAAGGAAAGTTTATTCACGAAAAAAGCGAAGAAGTGGAAGAACATAACAACAAATGGATTTCTTAAGAAATTTTCCAGGTTATCCGAAATATGACCCCGGAATGTAAACCAACAATGCCGAATGTTAAGGATGAGAACGACAAAATAAATACAACAAAAGAATAGATAACAAAAAGATGGGAAGAATACACGAAGAAGTATTATAAGAAGGACTTACATATAAAGTAGTGGCTAAAAATGGATGTTTACGAACCTGAGATCGAAGAAATGAATTGGGCGACAAAATAACTGAAAAATGGGAAGATCCCGGCTGCAGATAACATTCCAATCGAACTATTCAAAAATACAGGGGAAGAAATCTTGGCGAAACTGACACAATTATGCAATGTGATCTGGAAAAGGAAAGGGTGACCAACAGATTTGCAACGCAATATAATTACTCCATTACCAAAGAAGGGGGACAGTGGAGATTGTACAAATAACACAATTGCATGAATGCCTCAAACAATTTTATGATGGTATTCGAAGACGGAAATATGTGAAAAAGATAGTTATGTACTACTATTACAGACCGATTACCTCGGTCTGTAATATTAGTATAGCATCTCTAGTTTGATATCCGAGGAAAATAGATTGAGATGCAAAGTGACGACCGACTATATGGCTTGCGTGTCCCGCAAGTCCCGCCTACTCCGTCGGGGCTGGTCGCATGCCGCCGGGACTGGCCGTGCCGCCGCGCTGACAGAGGACCCACAACGGGCGGGTGGGTGACGCAAAGGCGAAGAAAGGAAAGGGGAGGGGCGAGATGTTTTCGTAAATTTCACTTTACGACGCTCCTATTCGTCTTATTTGCATGATTGCCACGGCGTTCGATTCAGGTTGCATGTCGTCATCGCGCTATAAGCCCACATTTTTTAATTTGTTCTTGGAAGTTAGAGAACTAATTTGAAATTCGCGTTTGTGCTGGCTTTTTAGAAAAAGGTCATCGTAGAGTAAATTCTATTTTAAAAAGGCGTCAAATGCCGTTTACAGATCGAAAAGCGAACCATTGGTTCAGACGTTATCAGTAAAGTAAATTCCCCTGTGATTGTGCTGCGATCTATTGAATTTTCTTACAAGTATTTTTCGATGCATTTAGCCTTAAGATAAATTTGGGTACAAACCTCTTGCAACAGGAGTCATTGCAATATTATAGAACGTCAAAGTGTGTCGCATATTCCAGACACCTCCGTCAACATCCGTAGCATCACCATTATCGATATACCCATTGCGCACCACCTCAAGCACCATCCAATGCTACCTCCAACACCATGCGTATTTTTTCCATCAGTTCGACATAGCACCATACGCTACTAATCCTCCACCTCCATCAAAACAAGGACAACACTACCACCTCACATTTGTTTGCTAATACTCGCAAGGCATCGATTTTCATAATAGAAACCATAAAGTAGCCCTGAAACGCCATTATTATCATAAGGAGCATATTTTCGTAAAACTTCACAGAACTCTTTACAATAAACTGTAATTGAATTAAAGAAGCGAGTGTTGGACTCCTCCGATTTCCGAACCAGTTCTAGAACAACCTTTTTTGTGATCTGCCCTATCTCCCTCGGAGACAATTGAGTTTCGGACGAGGGATACGCTGATAGCACTAACGCGGCAATGTAACGTCCAAAGACCTCCAAACGGCGCCTGTGGCGGCAGACCGTGAGGACACGAAAGACCAGAATTCTACTAATTTCCGCATAAACACCACTTACTGGACTCAAGGCCATTACAAATTTAGTTACACGCATTTTTCTGGGGGATGAACAAGCTAGTAAACATTCAAGCTAATCCCACTACCCAGCACACGGAGTGTCTGTGTTCGCAACCTCCACGTCTGTCTTCACCATCGTCCCCGTCGCCACCAGACCCTGTCCGTCACCGCCACACTCACCGCGGCCGGCTGGTGCTTGCGCGAGGGGCGTCAGGCAGCAGCACCCTCAATTCCCTTGCCCCCTCTCCTCCCCTCCCCCACCAGCCCCCGCTGCGAGGTTTTCGATTTTCTCCCCGGCGGCTGTCGCCGGGTGTAGTGGGCGCTTTACATTTCAAAGTGGCCTCCTCCGGCAGCTGCCAGCCCCGAGCCGCGCGCTGCAGCAGATACAACTTTTGCTCCGCTGCTCGTAGTGTGTGCTTGTGTCGATTGTAATTGAACGGGTTGCGTGCAAAAGGCCATAACTTCTTAATCGTTTCAAAAACCAGAAAAGCTAATCATTAGATTATAATAATGATTGTTTGCTTTGTCGCGTTTGTAACACATCCGCTTTTTGCTATCAAAAGGAGACGTTTGCTGTTTTTATTAGCCTACTTCTTCAGAGATGTGGCGTTTTACAGCAACTTGCGTACCTTCAACAACTGATGGAGACTTTTATTTCCTAAATACCAGATTATATTTGATTAATAATTAATATACATTTTCTCACCAAATGAGTATTTCATCAATTATTGATGAAATTTGTATTTCGTGGGAAAACTTGCATGTCATTTAGAACAAAACCATATTTACCTCATTGTTGGTTTGTGGATTTCTCATAAATTATAAAATTGAAAGTTTTAAGATCTTAGGGAGTGTAATAATTAGCTACGTAAAAGTCATTGACGTAAGATTTTGTGTCAACTGAAGTGTTACACAATGTGATAATGCAGTAAGTTCATTGTTAAATATCGGATATCTATAAGACTACTTTACTAGCTTGTTTTGGGATTATGGCGTTCTTTGAATGCAGACAATGGTTCTGAGAATACTATAGAAAAGGAGGAGAACAGCGTATTGTGAGTTGCGCGAATTCTAATTAATACTTCATAAACCGCGAACTTCACTCTTGCAATTATGTGAATAGATTTTTTCTCCACCAGGTAATATGTTTATGTTTACCGACTTAAAGGAGCTTGGCTTATGGCTTATTTAATGGAAGTCACTTTTAAACTTAGTATATTAAACGAGAAATATTATGTAAAGCTTAACTGTGACTGTAAACGCTATTATGGAAAATAACAAATGTAATTAACATTGAAAAGCGCACACGTATAAATATTTCCGAGATGAATATTTTAGATGAGATTTTCAAAGTATTCAAAAGTAATTCAACACATCTTATTCCTAAATGAAGATTGTGTATCAACGCGATTTATTTTTGAAAAAAAATTGTGAATTTTGATTCACAATGTGCAACACAATACTTATTAAGTGTGAGCAATTTCATTTTCATTCACATAACATGTTTGAAGTAATATTTCAAGGAACAATTGTTAAGATGATTCTCATAAAAAACTTCTTTTTGTGTATACATACCACTCTTCTGAACAGTAATAACAAAACATGAAAAATGTTTTCTAAATCGTAAAACCAAAACAAGTTAATGTTTGAACAGAGAAAAATTCATCTGTACGTTATTGTCATCATACTTTAATACGGCTGAAAGAAAAATGCAAATTGTGTTGGGGATTTAAATACCACATCAGATGCTAATTTGATGGACCAGGTGTTCTTTGATTCCTGTGACGAACCTTAGTTGTTCAGTGTTGTAACTTTCATTTCACATTTTAATTTTCGTTTAACTAAAATTTATTTAATGTATCAGAGATCAAAGTATCAGAGATTTTTTAGTGAATGAGAAGTCATGTGCTAAAAATACTGAATATTTAAACCCAGATGCGAGAAGTATGTTTGTGTTCTCCACATTTGAGGGGAAATTAAAAGAACGCTAAATTTTAATGGTAATTTTTGAGAAAATATATTGTCCATTCTTTACAAATGTATTTAGATGATATTTTCAAAAATAACCCCGCCAATGTTTTAAATTCTCAATTTTAAAGTGATGGGTAAAGTGTGTCAATTTTTACAATTGGCACGATTTCGATTCATATTTTCGATTGTATATTGTTTGACCTTTAAATATATTTTCAAATAAGTAGATATTTATGCCATTCGATTTATATTTAGGCATGTATTTTGCATTTTTATACTTAACGTTAATTACTATTACTCCGTAGGCAATTAGTTTTTGCTGGTTGCAATCTATTTTAGCAGATTTGAGATTTCATTTCTCTTCGTTAGTTTTATGGGCGGTAATTACAACATTACATTTAGATGTTGTATCATATTTATATACAGCCCCTGCAATAATGTAGGAAAGATGTTGATGTACATTTCTGTTAGTGAATTTTTGAATTTTCAATATGTTATAAGTTTTCGAATATTTCTGCTTAGGAAGTGTTGTTTCCAGCCCTTCCCTTACACCTTATTTTCTCATACTGAAAGAGGCGTTCGGGTGTAAATAATGGTGTCTGGTAATATTTTGAGAGACAACAAGATTATTGGTATTTAAGATTGGTGGAGCAAAAGGAACAGAGTGAGAGTAGGTATATTTTTATTCCACGTAGAATCAAGAGCAAAGAAACAATGAAAATTATTGTGGCAAGTTCGCCGCCATTCGCCTAAGTTCGTGTAAGCAGTGACATTGCGCTGCATTTTCCAACAAACTGTGAACTGTAATAATCGTCATTATCTTTCATTCGTTTAGCATTGTTTTACAAGTAGCAATTACGTTAGTAATTTCTATCTCGGACGTGATCTATTAATGCTCCTCAAAACAAGGACCAATATTGCCACGAGCAAGTAAATAATATCATAAATTAAGGGTAAATTTGCTTTGTTGATTCGCGATAGTTCTGTTATTTTACCTCTTCATATACTCTTTGACCTTTTCATTGATGTGCAGCCAATTTATGACGAGTGCAATATCAGATACCAATGTTATTCCACCCGATCGCCTGAAATGTTGAGCCTTGAGTGACGCCTGTTGCCCGTTGGCGCTTGCCCGCAGCTGGGGAGAACCCGGCGGCCATGCAGCACGGCCTGCACGGGCTGGCCTGGCTGCGCTGCCCGTCCTCGTGGCTGCTGCTGGGCTGCGTGCTGCTGTCGGCGTGCGGGGGCGTCGGCGGGGGCATCGGCGGCGGCGCCGCGCTGCGTCCAAGGCCCCCTAGGAGACGCTCCTCCGGGCCCTAGCGGCCCTGGCCACCCGCCGCCATTTCATGAACCGACGCCATCTTCTTGGCTTCTCGCTTCTCGGGAGGTGAAGTGCTCCGACGACTGTGCGGGTTGAAGAGCGAGGGAAATACAGAAAGAGAGAGTGTGTGTCTGTGTGTGCACCGTATGTCAGCTGAATCTTGTTTAAGATTTTAATCTCTTATAAAAAAAGTAGTGTGCCGTTCTCATGCAGTTTATTAAAAATCGCAGTGCGACGTTTTCACGGAACACTGTTGTAAGAAAAATATAAAAAATCTTTTACAAAAAAAAATGAATAAATTTAAAAGTGTACGCGAGACAATGCGTTTATGTTTGAAGCCTGTTGTGTCTCTGATAAATATGTTACAATCCACCCTTTTGAGTGTACAGACTTTGCAAAGTATATGTTTAATAAGACAAAATTCGTTTTTTAGATGAGCATTTTCGAATTGAAAACGAACGCGACACGAAGCAATCTTTTTTTGACTTCACGCGTGGTAGGATGGTCTTTAGAACAAGAAGAGTATGCTCGTGAACATTCCGTGTGTGGATAATTATTGGGAAGTGAGTTATAGAAATAATGTGAAGAACTGCTCAGGGTGATCCTTTTTGAAGAGCTGTGCTCAAACTCTACCACACGACACGAATTTTCATTCACATTTCACTGTATCTTTTCAGCTGAAGGACATTGGAATATGTGATAACATACATGTATAATACTGTATATTTGAATGTTCAACGAAATTATATGATTCATATCAAAATGTGTGTTATTCACTGTGCATTTTCCCTATTTGTTTCCTGTGTGACAGCTAATTAGTGTGACACCCAGTTATATTAAGATGTGCCTTACAACTACTAGACAGTAATATATCTTGCAAAGTTTGGGACGTAAAATTAATTCAGAATTAATACTTGTTATCGCAGATAATAAGTATTACAAGGTATATACAAGATATATTTAAATTTTTTGCATTGCCACTTGGGTGCATGATATTGTAAGTGGTGGTAGTCTACAATATCCGATGCTGGAAAAGATTATATTTAAACACATTTCAAAATATTCTCAATGTACCATTGTTTCATTTTACAGAAGAAAAATAGAGGACTGTGTATTTCCCAATGTGGGAATACTTCAACGGTCGCAGATGCAACGTTTCTGGAACAAAAATTAATGGTATGTAATTTTTTTCCATTTTTTGAAAGACATCTTGTGAAGTGTATCGCTCATCTGATCGCATCTGCATTTCAATGCATCCTACCGAGTCTGCAGCCAGTCCCCACAGTTTGAATAGCAGCCACATCCGTCTGTAAGAAACGCAACACATTCCCTTAGGCGTTTTACGTTTACTGCAGCATTTACACACACACACACACACACACTCACACACGTCCATGCATATATTTGATGCGGCTATAACGTTTTATGTTTTAGTTCACGAGCCACGTCGTTAAATTTCCGGGCATTTTGTGGGGGCCTCAATTGCCGTTACCTTATGCACTATATCGTATAGGAGAATGATCCGACCGCACGCGTGGCACCTAGAAAATCCCCCAGGCGCGTCATAAAGGGCCGAGGGAATCAAATCCAATGAATACACACGACGTGAATTGAAGCGTTTGGCCCTACACAAAAGAATCCACCGGTGAAAACATGCAGATTTTAATTACTAACTGAAGACGAAGCGAAGCTTCATTACAGGTCTCTTGCGCAATTAGCCTTTACCTCTAATTGCACAGCGAGGACTACAAATTCTTCCGTCGGACTCGCATTAAAATTTTCGGAATAAATAATAAAGGACAGCGACTAAACAAAATTGAGTCTTTTGCCATTCAAATGAGGTCTCTCCGATCATAAATTACAAGCTACGCTGCCAACACAAAGGCTAAGTAATGAAAGTTTGATGAAAATTCTCTTTTGAAATAACGATCGACGGTTTTTTTTGTCGGACCAAGTGGTCTTCTATCTGGAGCATGGTGCGACAATAGACTTTTCAGAATTATAATGTTTCCTTCTTCGCACGTTTTCTCAAATTCATTTTGCGAAGGATTATTAGAAGAATAGTTACATTAGACTTCATATAAGCCGTGCATCGTTCAAAACGAGGAAAAAATGACAGTGTTGAATTTCTCCTGAATAAGATTGTGTATATACTTTTACGCGCGGAATCAAACGTAAATAAATTTAAAATATTTCTAAAAAATTCTTAAACATATTTTATTGGGATTAGTGAAAAACGGCTCACTAAGGCGTGAATTTTCGTTGTTCGTGAATCCAAAAAGTATCAAATCAAATTTAAAGCATCAAATTCTTGTTCGTACGGTTTTACTTATCCTGTTTGATGTGTATTAAACTTCCACTTATCAATAGACTACTAGACTTAACTTTGCCTCGGAAACTCGAGAGTAAGTTGATTTAGGGACAGAAGGTAATTAGAAACTTCTGGGAGACCTCGAGTTAGGAAAACTGCTCCACCCCGATCAGAAGAAATTCAATTAATATGGAGCGACTTCTCCATGAACTTCGGCAATTTATTGACATTACTTGAAATTCCAATATGATTTTGCCTTAAATATATACGGTAATACAGAGTGTTCTCAAAACGATATCATTTTTTATTAAACAATGACGCAATGAATTTCAATAAGAGTTAATTGGAACGTTCTGTATTAAATTAGAGAAACTTGCTTGCTGGCGTTGCTTTGATTGCTACTTAACTTTATTAACCGTCAGGATGAAATTTGCTTCTTCCTGTTAATTTATCACCTCTATGACCGTTATTAAGAAAATTGACATTTAGAAAGACATTATTATTGAACTCAATCATCCATTACAAAGCTGGTGGACAAGACGGTACCCGGAATTTGCGTAGAGTTGATTTGCACCAACACGAAAAACTGCAATTTCTTTACATGTTTAGGTGAAAAAACATAAATAACAATAAAACTTACAATATTTATTAACGATGTGTTGTTATCTCTCAACATCAAACCAAAATGTCTTGCGTTGCCTGTATTTTCATCTTTATACCTTTTTTTTATACCTTTCTTCTTATAGGAAAATATCTATTTCAAATTTTTCCTTATACTGATGTCCAGGCAGAAAACAAAGGAACTTCCAAAATAAGCTATTATGAAAATTTTAAGCATATTTTGTCTAATAAACTCTGAGACTGAACAGTAATAACCACACAAAAGTTGGTTTAAAAGAAGTCTTCCTATGCAAATATGTGCACTTCATAAACACATAATCACTCCAGAAACATATCAATTGTTTATTATTTACGAAAGAAATGAATATATTTGTTCACAAAAAATTAAAACAGAAATAAAAAGCACCCATTTTACAAAATTCAATTGCTTTTGGTAACAATTGAATTATAGATAATTTTTAGATATAGATAATGAAAAAAACACATATTTCACACAAAAAATAACACACACACACATCTATTCAGATGTGCTGACAAAGAATTTCATATTATAGTATGATCATTTTATGGCAGTACATACTGCATGCATTAGGATCTTGTTCACTTACGTAATTTTTAAAACTATAAATCATGTATTGGCGATGAACTTTAAGAACTTTGATTTAACATTCTAAAATTTATGGAATATAAACGATAGGTTTCTTTTTCCGATTGCTAATAATGGCAGTTGCACCTTTATTGATAGAGTCTTGTAAATTTCGAACTGAAACACTGATGATTTGCTAGCCAGATTTCTAGTAAACATGAAAAGTACATTAGACAATTATTAAATTAACATTTTCTGTATTTTTCATATTAAAAATGAATTAATTTCTCATGTTGTTATTTCGCAATGTAAACGATATTTCAATGAAATACATTCGTGCGTCTACTTTTGATAGAATGAGTCATTTGTGATTTTTCAATTAGAAGATTTAACAGAGAAATATTTACTAATTGGATTTTTTATTGTAATGTAAATTATATAAATTTTAATGGATATTTTCGAAAGCAATTTATTTATGCAGTAAGTTTCTAAAATTAGCAACACGCTAGCATTACAAGCTACCCATTTAAGTGGAAATTTTTTTAAACTTTGCATATGAAACATTTGTTGTAAGTAAAGAAGTTTTACTGAATTTTGGAGAATATTTTATCAGATTTATAATTAAGGTAAGAAGTTTGTGGATAATTGTTTTCCAGTTTTTTGTATTTGAACTCAAGTTCGGGACCTTTTTTACTTTTTTGGACATTTTTACTTTCTTGTAAAGGAGTATCTTACTTTCTTGTATAGATAGAAATGTACGTAGAATCAGAACCTTATCAAAAGACTAAAGGCGTGATCGAATATTATATGATTTATAAGGCCTTCTTTATATTGTAAAATTGAGTGTTCATACTGTACTCTCTTCACTTTTACTTTCTCGTTACCACTTACGCAGAAGAGAGTAAGTTATGTAAAACAGCAAATTTTCGGCCGAAAATATCTTATTGCAGAGCCGTTGAAATCGATATTAAATTTTGTCTTTTATTCTTTTAATAAGGCTCTGATTTGAAGTATATTTTAAAAAATCGCCCCGCGAACTATTCCGGAAACGTAAGACTAAACGTGCCAGAACAGGAACATACTTGAAATTTATTGGGTTTTACGTATGCCACCATCATGTGCATTAATAATAAATAAAAAATTGAGCGTAGGAACATAACTACCGTTACCCCAAACCACCAGGCGAGGGCTTCTTGTAGTCTCGATACGCTCTTCAACCCGCCTTCGTTTCCCACCAGTTATCCTATAATCACTGCATCCTCTCGCCTTCAACTCTGCCTCAACTCCTTCTCCTCCCCCTCCCACAACCATATCCTCGGTTCTGCCTTCGCTCCGTCTCCGCGTCTTTCTCTACCTTTCCTCTGGTGCGTCCTTCGCCCGCGCCTTGCCACTAGCGCACCCCAGCGGCGCCGCGCCCTCGTCGTCGTCGTCGTCGTCGTCGCCGGCACCGGCTGCTCTTGAATTTCCACGCACGCGCCCCTGTCAGGGCGCCACGTGAAGGAAATGACGTCAGCGGCGCCGCAGTCGGCACTGGGGGCGCTCCCTTTGATCAATGGGCGCGCGCGCGCGGTGGCTGCACTGCGCCGCGGGCCTCGCCCCGAGCAGCCGGCTCCTCCGCCCCCGCCGCCCTCCCGCCCCAGGAGCGTCTTCGCCCGCTGTCTCTCCTCAGCGCTGCCTCTGCTCTCCCTTCGCCTTAGGGCCGCCTCAGCCCCGGCACCGCCTCAACTCTCTCTCAATCGGTCGCTGCCGCCCCTCCACCGGCGGGCGGGTGCCATCATTTCGTCTTCGCCCCGGCGCGGCATTTCCTCTCTCTGCTTCGAATCTCGCCTCGACGTCTCGCCTCCGCACTCCCATAATCACTGCATGCTCTCGTCTTCCACTCTCTCTCAAATCCGTCTCCTCCCACCTCCCAACCATATCTTCGGTTCCGTCTCCACTCTGCCTCTTTCTCTACCGTTTTCTCTTTCATGGCTCTCACCTTTCCTTGCATCCACTCTGTCCGAGGTCCTTCCCTTCTTAACCCTTCTATTCTCCTCCCCTCTTTCTCCACATTCCTGCATTGCCTTTGTTCCTTCTTCACTGTCTTTTCGTCTTTGTATCTCCGCCCGTGTCCACCTCGTCACCAACTCCTTCACCGTACCTTGACCTACATAACCCGCAACAGGGGACCTCATCATCTCCTTTGCCTCATGTGTGCCTCCGTTTCCGCCCCGTCTCAACCCCGTCTCCGCCCCGTCTCCGCCCC